AAAGTCTCATCTGCTGAGAAATCTGATTTTGAAAATAACTGCTAAATTCATCATGTGCAGAATAGTCTTTGGTATGGCCTGGTGCTGCTACGCTGTGGGATTCTGACTGGCACGTGACTTAATCACCTTCACTCTTGTTTTGATTTTTTTTTTAATCCTGTCAGCTGAAAGATAAAATAAAAAACATATTAACCTCCCTGATGAAGCTTTATAATTCCCAACACTGAAACATTAACCAAGTCCTTAATTAAGAGAGACTGAAAGTAGAAGAATGCTTTTATGTCATTAGCTGGTTTTTGCTCCAGTCATCTGCCTCATTCAAGCATAGGATAATATGAAACCTCACGGGCCTGCTAAAGGCTTGACTTAAGTATATTGCGGACTCTGCAATTTAATAAGAATGGCATGTTGTTCTTAAGAAACTCCATTTTCTCTTGCTTGTGCTCAAGTAAGAAGAAAAAAGTAAGAGCAGCTAGTGAGCAAGAAGCTCAGGTTAGACACAGAGGTCCGAGCCCTAGCCCTTGCTGCTCAAAGGTGTGTTTATTCCTGTGTGCCTTTTCCCTCACGCATCAGGAGTAGCAGAAATTAGTATTAGACCAGAAATTTTTCTAGGCAGAGCACAGCTGTTCTCTTTTTTCTGTAGTTTCTGCAGTATTGAGCTTGATGACTTCTCAGACCTGCCTAGACAAGATGTGTGTAAGGTACCATAATTGAATGAGTAACAGCGCACATTGGTGATAAACTGGCACCACAGCAACAGTGTTGTCTGGTCCTCCTCCAGCAGCGAGTTGTTTTAGTGCTTTGTTCCAGAGAACTGAGGGTTGGGGAACTGAAGCTTATTCCCAGACACTGATCTGTGAAAAGTTTTCCCAGTAACTCGTTATGGGGCTACTTACCTACATAAAACACTTTTAAAAGGAGTAATATAGATGTTCCTCTCTAGTGTCAAGGTACTAAAAAATAAGTGTGGTAAAATTCTTCATATGAGGTTTTTAATCTACTGGGTGAAGGAGGCTCAAAAATTACTGAAACTTTCTCACTCCTCTGAAATTACTCACTGAATAGTTATAATGGAAGCACACGTGGGACAGTGCTTCACCACACTAAAAAAGTCATTTACCTAAAGTGGGGACCTTTACACCGGGGTTCATCTCTTCACCTTATTAAAGCTGTAAACCTAAAAATCCCCGTAACTGTACCTGTAGGATTACGGCAGACTGTTCAAGCTGCAGGATGTGTGTTTGGGAATGGAACATTTTGGTGGTTTTGGCATCATTATTTTTCTCCCCTTGTGTGACGCTTTCTCATGCGCATACATATGTGCGAAATTCTCTCTTGCTTTTTCCCTCCGCTTCTTTCTTCTTCATCCCCTGTGACCACATCTCTCTCAGCTCAATTGTGAATATCATTTCTTAAGAATGACTCCAAAGTCAACATCCATTTCCTCAGTTTCTTCCCATTCTATCCTTGACATCCCAAGAGTGACCTTGAGCTCCAATGCATGCAGACAAACGCCTGCTACTCAGTAGGTCTGTGATTCAATGAAACCTCATCATCCCTGTGGCAAGCTCAGAATTAAGGCTCAGGAGTTGCATATTAAGATCCTGAAATTCTGGCTTTGCACCCAGAAGTCTCCTTGGCCACACTGAAAAAAGGAATGGGCTCAAGGACCAAAAGTACACTCAGAAATGAATTGATGCATGATGTTCTCCAGGGTCAGTATTTTTCAAGTGCTGCTGTGCTCTTTCAAAAGAGAAAAAAAAAAAAAAAGATTCATGGAGTTGGAAGGACCAAGTTCCTGTGGGTGCAGTATGAGCCACAGAGTGAAAATTAAAGACCAGAGAATTAACAGGGTTTGTTGTGTTACAAAGCTGAAAGCATTTTTATCCTTATATGTGTGTACTCACAGAAAAACATACTGCACTAATGAAACACAACTTTATGTTCCCAGTCATATTTATGCTTGCAAAGAATGAATGTAGCTCAGGAAGTTTGTTGCCAAGCAGTCTTAGCTCTGGGTTTGGTTTATTGTAGGGATGAAGAGGAAGTGCTTGTGGGTTTTTTTCACCCCCTTGGCTATAGGTGATGTGTACAAGGTGTGCTTTAAAGAGAGTGGGTAGAGTTGCCAAACAGGCAAGTTTATTAATGGATATCTTGACGTGGGTGAATGTGAAGATGGGGAACTGAGGAGGCGATAGTTCCCATGAGAGGGTGTGCAGTATTTTCTCCCCTGAAATCTATCAAAAATTGTCTGTCTCCCCTCAAGGGGAACGAGCCTGAACAAAAGTCCAAAAAAAGGCAACATGGGAGGACCTAAATAAAAGCTAATAGATGAGCTGAGCTAATATTAGTTTCCTGATATATAAAGCCAAATGGATTAATGGATCAGCTCATGCATTGCCTAAGGAAACAAAAAGAAAATCTTCAATACTTCTGTGCACATTGAGGGCATGAACAATAAAGGTCTTTAGAAAGTAAAAACCTAATTTGGGGGAATCAA